TTATCTTCTTGAAGTCCAGATAACTCTAGGTTTTGTTATTTTAGATTTATTTTTGGTAGTTGAATAGGTATGAAGTGGTATCTTAAAAATATTAAAATTTACTTAGTAGGAAGAATCTTTTTCCCAAAATGCTGATTTGATCTTAAAAACTATTTGTATCTTTTGATGGATATATATGTTAGTCATTGTCTGCACATAATAGATGATCGGTAAATGTTGAATTGGTTGGATTTATATTGTAGACATTAAGCTTTATCTATTGTGATTATTGCAGGTGTTGCTTACATTTACTCTACTGTTTTAATTTTAGGCTTATTTTTTCATTGTGTGAAAGTGTATCTTACATCACCAGATCTGTTGATTAGTTGCTTATGCTTCTATTGCTCAAAAATTTATCTCTTTCTACAGATGAGATAAGTATACTATTCTGTTTTTTCCATTTTTGTAATGCTACTTGTTCTTCATATATTTAGATTTAATAGTGTATGATGTGGATGTTTCTCTCCACATTGATACTCAGTTTTTATGACATTTTTTTAAAATAGATTTTTCTCCACTTATAAGCACTTTTTAGGTTTGATTATTGCTTGGTATTTCTAGTCTCATGTTTTGCTTTGATTTTTTTACAAAAATATGCTTAACAAAAACTATTTTAACCATTTTAAAGTATACCATTCAGTGGCATTACGTACACTCACAATGTCAGCTATCACCACTATCCTCTAGTCTCTTTACTTGATATATTTCTACTTAAACCTGAAAAATGATTCCTATTATTCTCAGGCAAATTGTTTAAATCTCTGATTCCCAGTTGACCGGTCCATAGAATAAGGATGATGCTCATAGATTCCTTTTAGAATAGATCAGTTATTGTTGAATAACAATACTTGAAGCAATCATCTTAAAGCCATTAGAGGAGGGTATTTTGCTTTTTGTTTTCATTCTTCAAGGCAAACACATAATTATATTTGAGGGAATCATGGCAAAATTTGCTAATTACTTATTTCTTATAAATTCTGAAGCAATCCACGTATTAATAAAAATCTTAAGTGGTTATAGACCATTTTTTTATACTTCTTAAGGCTACTGTTTATAACTATTATTGCTGAGATATATTTAATTTTGGGAGGGATACTATTGATTGTTTCCAGGGAAACTTCTATAGCCTTTGGTGTACTCTGAAAATATATATAAGGTTCTGAAAGGGGTAGTAAATAGACTTCTAAAATACAGTGTAAATATGATCAAATTTATGAGCTACCTGTTCTATTTAAAACTGTATCAAAGCTATTCAGTTAACTCTTGAAAATCTCTACGCACACTTAGCTGCATGCAAGTTTCCCTTCTAGGGCGTATAATCAGACTGTTTGTTCTATTTAGACACTTCTCTTGGTGTTACAATTAAAATTGATATATACTGTGTTTTCACTGAAAAAAAATTGACCTTTATATTGCGTTTTAAAATATTTATATACCTAATTTTAAATTTCTCTTTCTGTGTTTAAGAGCTACAATAACACATTTGAAGTAACCCAAGTTCTTGCCTGTGGCCATTTATAACTACAGGGTCATTTTAGCTTAATACTTGAATATTTTTATGGTGAACTTGGTACAAAGCAGAAATTCTGTGGTTAGAATCTTATTAGAATTTTGAAATAAAATATTTGTTACTAATTATTTCCCTTCTAACTTCTAAGGATTTAAAATTATGGCTGCCATATTACAAAATAATCCTGCTTTTATTTATGAGCTTGTGAAGTCACAATATTTAAGATTATGTAACCTTTTTGAATCAAATTAAAGTTTCTGTTTTTTTCATTGTCAGCATTGGCAGGTAGGGAAATTATTATTTCTGTTCTCAATTGCAGATTTTCCCAGATTTTTAATGATGAAGGCATAAAATACTAACAAACTCCAAAAAAAAGTGATAAATAATTGTATGTAGAAACAGTTCTAAAAATTGAAACTAGAAAATTATGAAGACATTATTATCCAAATGCCTTATAAAGGTGCTTAAAACAAAAAATGAACTCGAAGCGTGTTTTGTAATTTCATCGGCTGTTTGGCTAAGTTGTAATTATATTAATTTACATTACATTAAGAATCCACTTTCCCGTTCTATGTCAAGCCATCGTATTAAACTCTAAAACTACTACATGGAAATGAGAATACTAAGATTTGTATTGTAATTTCGTAGTTTTTGTTATTGTCAAATACTGGATCACTGTGTCTGTGTTATATAACACTTTCATCTGGTTGCTAGTAAACTCGGCTTTTGATTGTAAGCATGTGCCACTGTAGAAAATGGTGTGAGATGTTAATATTAAAAGTTTTAGCACATTGGTTAATGCTAGGAACGTGGTAAATACTTGCATTCTTTATTCAGTATGTTTCTATATTTCCGGTCTTATAAATTACAAATTTTTGGAAGGAAGGAAGAATACTGTATTGATGGAAAGTAATATCTTAGATACATGTTGTGATGGACTTATGTGGAAGGTAATTTTTAGGGATGGCAACAACAAAGGATCCTTCTTTTCATAGAAGAAATAGGAGAGGTAGAAAGGAATATCTTCCAATTGTTCCCTTAAAGAAGGTTTTCTTAAAATTTACCGTAGAATTTATCTCAAGAAAAAAAATTAGCCCATTTTCATTATAAAATCACAGCAATATTAGCATATATCTAGAAAGCAAAATTTAAGATTTTAACATTTAGTTTTGTATGGCTTGAAAATTTATTTCTGCACTATTAAGAGTAATAGTTCTTGCCATTTAAAATCCATAACCCATTTTGATCAGTAAAAATCTATGTTCTTTAATGTTGTTCATATTTTTAAAATAAATTAGTTTTTGTGTTTAAAAACAAAATTAAAGTACATGCTTTTTGGTATCCTTTTTAAAACAAAACAAAAATTTTCCTTACCTTCTTACCGAGAGGTAGGTTTTAAAACACTTCCCCTATGAGAATGAGTATCCCCTCCCTCTTGCCGAGAATCTACTAATTAGAGATTGCAGTTATTACAGTTAAGTAAAACATGGAATACTATCACTTTTAGGGTGAGAGCTGGTCACACAAAAATTCAACAAATAAGGTTTTAAAGGCATTACATTTTCCTAATGATTTGGTCCTATTTTGCTCTTAAGGGATCAGTTCACAGATGTACATTATGTTCATTGAGGCAGTATTAAAATCCCGTAAAGACATTTCAATTTAAAACTAAGATATAAGTTGGCGAAACATAAAAATGTTTCATCTTTCATAATTATGAGTCAGTTTCACGTCACATTGATTATGTTGTTCTGGATAGAGCAAAACAAGTGCAGGGAAGATAGCACCTGTGAGCTTTAGTTACTGTGCACCGTAATTCTGCAGCAGTAGCTACCTACGTCAGGTAGTATGAGAACTCAGCTTTTGAGGCTTTGTGCGTGAGCTACACGTGAGTGCATTGAGCATCCTCCGCTTCTGACCTTTACACTTTTTTCTCTTTTGACATTCTAGATCAGGGTAGGGAGTAGAGCTGTGTCAGAGTTAGACATTTTTTTAATCTGTCTAGCTTACACGTGTTTTCTCTTCTTTTCCCATTCCGGAGTGTGGCTCTGAAAGTGTTTTGTATATAGCAGTAGAAGTGTAATGCTGGTATATTGGCATAACTGAAGTTTTTCATTTCCCTTTTCATGTTATTTATCTATTTTCATCTGCAGTAAGATTCTATACTTGCTTTAGCTTTCTTTATATATTAAGTTGGTTACAGTGGTTGCTAGAAGTGAAAAGAGGTTTGACCTTAATTAAAAGCATAAGCAATCACGTCTGTTTCGGAGCAGTGCTAGTTTCATTTTTGTTAAATTGTAATGGAGTTTTTCTTTTTTATAATGTATTTAAAGTTTCTAATGTCTATCTGTCTCTCTTGCCAGAAGGGCATAATAAGGTGTTTTTACCATTTAATGTGGGATTTGTTAGTTTGAAAATCAAACCAGGAAAAAAAAAGGTGGGGGGGGGGGGGGAGAAAGAAAGAAAAAACAATGGATATTCTTACAGTTTTAAAAATAAAAGAGGCTAGTCTATTTTTCTTTGTTAGTTTGAAAATCAGGACCAGAAGAGCAGGATCTAAGAAGATAAAGATTTTCCTTAAATGATTGACTAAACAGTATATTTAGTGGAGTTCATTATTTCAGACTAAAATTGAGTCCCAGCCCCGGCCAGGTCACAGTTGGTTGGAACGTCATCTCTTACACCAAAAGGTGGTGGATTCAATTCTAGGTTACAGGTTCCATCCCCGGTTAGGGTGTACACGGGAGGCAACTGATTGATGTTTTTCTCTCACATCCCTGTTTCTCTCTTTCTACCTTCCTCTCTAAAATCATTAAAAACATATCCTCGGGTGAGGACTAAAAATATAAATAAAATTTACATGATTATTTTTCCTTAATTCTAAAATTCAAAGTTTTACTTATTTGCATTATTAAAGTAGATCCAGAGAATTCCATTTTCCTTTATATTAATTGTATATACAGATGGTTGTGAATGTATTTAATTTATATTTTGATTTGTTATATTTAAAGTGTTTCAGTGTGTCTGTGTTAACATTATATAAATGTTCCACATGACAGCAGGTTAGATGTTATCCTAACTTACTGATTTACTAGGCTAGTTTTTATCATTAAAATATGTAACTCTAATCCTAAAAAAACTGTCCTAGTTATCAGCACATTGTAAAATGTTTAATACATTAGGCACTATAGTAACCGTGTTTTAAGTACAGCAGAAGTGGTTCCACGTGTTGGTTTTTGCAAGATATTAAAAAATCATTGCGTATACCTATCTTGACTTGGTGTAGCATGTCAGTTTTGAAAAGCCATGTGCAAGTTTGAGATTTTGAGATTAGAACTCACGTGGAAAGCTTGGGGTAGCAAAATATTTTTAAAAAATTATTTTCTGATGGCCTGAATGATAATGCCTTAAGAGTACATAAAGCTTTGAATTCCTCCCCTTTTTTAAACAGACTGTGAAGACTGCTGAGAGACACTTGCCATCCAGTCACATAAGTGGAATAAAGAAATATTGGTCCTCATGGAAGAAGAACAAGATTTACCAGAGCAACCAGTAAGTATTTCCTTTAACAATTTAAAGTTCATTGTAGAAAAACTAATCTTAAGAGATTTTAAATATTATTCAAATTCAAAATAAAAATAAGGAAAAGACTTCTTAATACTTCTAAGTAAAAAATTTTATATGATCTCAAATGCATATTTTGTTAACAATGCTAACGAGTGTGCTTAGAAAATTCAGCATTACAAAGTTAGTGTTGTATTTGGGATTGTCATTTTTTTAAAAACCAATGGGTATTTCCTTTTGTAGAACACTTTTGCTTGGTCTGATTTGTGGCCTGGGGAGCTATCAGGGAAGGACAGAGCAATTAGACATCATGGTAGGTGAGATGGCAACAGGATGTGCTGTAGGTCTCAATCAGTTGTGGGACAGACCAGAAAAAGAAAAGAAAAGAAAGAAAAAACAATGGATATTCTTACAGTTTTTAAAATAAAAGAGAACATCTATTTACCAAACAGTATACACCACTTCTGATGGAAAATTTAGTTTTACCTTTACCTAAGTTTTCCTAACTGACCTAATTTTTTAAGAAGTTGTAGTAGTTGAAGAAAATGTAATCTGACCACTAGCTAATTCTTAAAAAGATGAGATTTAGAGACTAGGTTGAATTCTTAATTTCTCTTAAATATTTAATACAAATAAATAAAATCATTTTAAATGTCCACAAGTGAAATGGATTTATTGCCTTGCCATGGCTTCTTTTTGTTTGTTTGTTTTTGTCTGTTTTTGATCCTTCTCACTTAAAAAAGGAGAGCAATAATCATTCTCTTAAGATATTTTTATATTGAAGAATCTTTTCCTTTTGTCTTGAGTTTCTTTTTCTGAAGTTAAATACTGATTCAATTTGCTATCCTGAGAGAGCCTCTTGCATTTAATATTAAAAGAGAATATAGAGTGGTACATGCTTACCTTTCTTTATGAAATCCAACATAGAAAAAGTTGAATGTTGAAGGCAGGTAATAAGATATGTTTTTCATGTACTAGAAGTATTCTTTACATTACAGAAGGATAGACACCAGCTTCCATTTAATTAATAAAGTCCTTTAATATGTTTTTAATATTTTTCTTTAGGTCGAGACGTGTACTGATGATTACTTTGCTATATTTTTAGCCCTCTCACTTACAGTAAGCATAAAATTAGGATGTCATAGCAATTGTTAAAAAAACCTTTTGAAACATTTGGAATGTCGTTCCTTTCCCTGGTGGAACATTAATAATCAGGGAAATGGTAGGGTTAAAAATCATCCTCAGCAGTGTATCTAGGATACACTGTATTTGTGTAAGAACACATCGCTGAATTAGAGACATTAAATGTACCAACGAAAATGACGTCATTGAGTTTTTAATTTAGTAAAAGGTCTGGTCATAATTTCAAAAGACTTATATAAGTTGTTGAAATAGGTATTGTTGGTTACTCCTTATCTATTTAAGGTAATGAGAATTGTGAGACTGACCTGCTAGTAGGTCATCTTTTCTACTCTGCTTTATTTCCTTGCCGTTCTTATTTAGTTTCTATAACATAACGTATTAAACCTGATTGTTATTTCAGAGGAAGGTAAGAAATTAAACCACTTTAAAAACTAATTTTCTGTTGACTATAAATGGTGATTGCCTTGGGGCATCATTTTCCTATTGATTTGTGCTTGAGTTTAATTTATAAAAGTGACTGAGTGACCACACTGAGAGGTCAGTGCCATTTGAAAGAAAAGTTTAATGTTACAATTCCCTTAGAAATTAGAGGCATGGCATGCCAGGGTAAATAGTTTAGGATTGTTAGCTCGAATAATTCCAGGAGGTTTGGGGTATAGGGCTGTCACTAGGTATCCACCTGGCCCTGAGTTGATTTAGAGCAGGGGAATATTGACTTGGTGTGTATGAGTTAGATAAAGGAGGTAGTTCAGAGTGTGGGCTCTGGATCGTAGGGGAGATATACTGGTAAACAATTTTGGCTCCATGATTAATGCATATCAAATAAATATGGGATCTAAGAAAACACAGAATACTTATTGACTGTTAAGAATAATTAGGATAGGAGAGTAAATACCAGACTTTGAGGAGAAAAATAAGTTTTCATAGGCTGTTGTGGAGATAGGAAATTCGAATGGAAAGAATAGTCCTATCCCAGGTTGACGATAAAGCTAAGATTTTTAATCCTACTGTTTATCTCTATATAGAGGGAGATATTACTGATGGGCATTATTATTGGAGTTATTTTAATTCTATCGTCTCTTGTCTTGTCTTCTCTCGGTTCTCTACTTCTTACTTGCTCTGTTTTAAGATTTAAGATTTGTTCGGGTCATTGTTAACAAGGCAACATAAATCCTAGCCACAGGATTTTCTTTCACTTTCCCTATTGCCAGTCAATCCTCTGCAATGAGAAATGAGTTTCTCTGTAGTCACCATTTAGGTATTTGACTCAGTCTTCTTCCAGTCTTCATCTTTTTCAACTACTTTGAAGCAGCTCATATTATTGTCCAACCTGGAACTCTTTTTAAAAGGAGTGAAAGGGAGTATTAACCAGACTCAGTTTGGAATAAGAGGTATAATCCAAGATTATTTCTGGTGAACTGGAAGCACTTAACTCCTCTATGGATATCAGGAGTGGTCTCTGTTTTTTTGTTTTTTTTTAATTTTATTTTTTATTACAAAGGGTATTACATATGTGTCCATTTTTTTTTGAAAGGGCATTATACACATAGGAAAGAATTTTAAAATGCACATATCAAACTCAATACTCATTGTTTTATTTATTTATCATTATTTTATTTTTTAATACTCACCCAAGGAGGTTTTCCCATTGATTTTCAAAGAGAGTGGAGGAGAGAGGGAAAGACAGAAATATTGATGTGAGAGAAACACATCGATTGGTTGCCTCCTGCACATGCCTAGACCAGGGCCCAGGCCAGGGAGGAGCTGCAACTGAGGTGTGTGCCCTTGACTGGAATTAAACCCCGAACCCTTTGGTCCCCAGGCCAACGCTCTATCCACTAAGCCAAACCACCTAGGGCTATTTATCATTATTTTATTTATCCATTCATCTGTTCATGGATTCTGGGATTGTTTTCACTTTTTTTGTATGGACCTGTTTTCTTTTCTCTTGGTTTTATATAGCTAGGAGTGGAATTGTGGGATTATATGGTAACTCAGTTTAACCTTTTGAGGAAGCAGCACTAAAGTAGTTGTACTATTTGCAATCTGTCAGTTTCTGGATTATATTGTTTGAACCCATGCTTTTGTAACTCAGTGAAATATGTCTGTATTCTTTGAGTTAGTTTAACTGCCTCTGGTGCCAGGGTAGTACAACCTTCCTATCCCTGATTTACAGGGGGACATAATTGCCCAAATTAAGGTGAACAGTATCTGAAATGTTAAATCTAATCATATTAGATAGCTGTATTCCCACCTGTTATATTTATTTAAAATTATTTAGCACAATTTTTGCCTTTTGTTAGCTTGAAATCCTTTTAAGTATTCATAATTTGTATGAATAATAAGTGTACTTAGCATGTTTCTACTATAACTAGTTATTCTAATCAGAGAGCTCTAAAATCAGATTCTTTTGTAATAGGAAAGCAGGGAACATGCACAGTGTTAAACATTACTTTTCATTTCTGGACTAAATTGCTTCAATGTAAATGCTTTTACCTCAGACGGAATTAAGAAAAGATGAAATCTGGAGGGAAAATCAGAATGGTGCGAATAATATTTTTAAAATTACTAGTAGCATAATAAGAAATTGTCTTTATTTTTGGCATGTAGGTAATTTAAGTATAAAGACATTTCTGTTAGTCCTGGATGTTGTGGTACAGTGGTCAGAGTGTTGGCCTGCATTGCCTGCGCCCACCAACATATCTCAGGTTCGATTCCTGGTCGAGAGCAAGTACCTGGATTGTAGGTTAGATCCTGGCCCCGGTGGGGGGCTGTGCAGGAGGCAACCAGTCCATGTCTCTCTCACATCAATGCTTCTCTCTTTCTCTCTACCCCCATTCCTCCTACTCTCTCCAGAAATAATGTAAAAAAATATGATGAGGATTAACCAAAAAGAAAGACATTTCTGTTAAAGAAATTTTGAGTAGATGATATCGAGTTCCATATTTACTGTTTAATGATATAATTATGCATCTGTTAAAATTTAAAACCAACGAGTTTGTGTCCAAGTTTAGATATTTCATTTTATCTTGCGTAAAAATCTTTATAAAGATTTTTTACATTTTACCTTGAATCTGATAAACACTTTTTTCATTGAAAAAAAAAATGGGAAAAGGAGACATCTGTTAATACTTTCAACAATAAAGATAAATTTTAAAAATAGAAAAGAAAAAAAAAGATCTCCCTGTGAAAAACAAAGACGTTCATCTCTAACTAAAAAATATAAGGGTTAATTAAATAAATCTAAGCAAGACAAGACAGTTACCCTGAAATTTATTAGTTAATGTTAATTAGTTAATGTTAGCCTGACATTTGAGTAGCCAGATTATTTCAAAAATAGATCATTACATTATTCCTTTGTTTATTTATTTTTGCAGGTTAAAAAAGCCAAGATGCAGGAATCGGGAGAGCAAACTTTAAGGTATATTAAGTTGAATTTCTTTTTAATAATCTACCTACAATTTTTTCACATGCTGATGATGGACATGACTTAAGTTGAGTGCCTTCTTTTTGTTTTTTAAAGTCAGTCTTTACATTTTGAAATTATTTGGTTTAAAATGAAAATACCCTCCAAAAGTTTGTTTTTGAAACTCATAAGTGCTGATTTTATTTATTTTATTCATTAATTATTTATTCAACAATATATACCGAACTTATGTTATCTATCAGAGCGTATGATATATGGAGGAGACACATCGGTCAGTATTCTTTAGATAGATGTACAGAATACGAAATAGGAAGAATAAGCAGAAGTAAGGGAAATGCAAGTTATTTGGCATTCATTACCAAATGGATATGGGATGCCTCAGTCATTAGCTTCCCTCCCGTTGTAGAAGAGGGGCAACTTCTATGCACCTCATGCTTTAGTTTTCCACAGTTCTTATCTCCCGTCATTTGTCCACCAACCATATGAACCAGTAACTTCATCACCTCTAACATCTTAATTTCCAGAATCCTCCTCTTTTGCTACCACACATTACACTCCAGATCATTTATTTTACTGCCATACTAATCCATATGTCTTATTATATACATTCAATGAAATGATCTATCATATTTTCCCTATCAACCACTGGCCCTTATCTCAAAAAGGACTTCAGTATCTTTCTTATGCTGCTTAAATTATAAGATCTCTTATTTTAATCAGTCCTTTAGGAAGTCTTAACTTCCTCCCCCTTTCCTTTGTGTTGTACTTCCCTAGCAAAATCACAACCCTGGTTAAACTCATCTTTCTGCTGATTCCATATTAATTTCCAATCACCTGAACATTGTGAGAGAAAAATATAAAATTATGCTTACTGGTCTCAATTTTCATTCATGATTACATCTCAAACAGGCACTTAAACACTCTTGGTGGTCCAACTGTCTTTCCTGATGTGTTTTATTTCCCAGTCTATAAAATTATCTTTCTTCCCTTTTTTCTTTCTCTCATCTAAGGAAAAATTGTTTGAACATTTAGAATATACCAGGTATGGGGGCATGGAACTTTGTTGATATTATGCTTAAACTAGGGGCCCGGTGCACGAAATTTGTGCACTTGGGGGGGCGGTGTCCCTCAGCCCAGCCTGCCCCCTCTCACATACTGGGAGCCCTCAGTATGTGAGACAGGGGATGTCCTAGTGATGGCTTAGGCCCACTCCCTGCTCCCCTTGGGGAGTGGGCCTAAGCCGCAGTCTGCCCTCCCTTTGTGGGAGGTGCCCGGGCTGATCAGGGGAAGGCACCAGCTCCATCACCCTGCTGCTGCAGCCACTGCCAGTCACCGCAGCCAGAAGGTTTTTTCATCAACACAGACTCCAATCCCTTCACCATGAAAAAATGACAACTTTCTTTAGGCATTTTCAAGATGTGTCTTTAATATGATAATAATTTCTTTCTTACATTTTTTATCTTCACCTGAGGATATGTTTCCATTGATTTTTAGAGAATGTAGAAGAGAAAGGGAAAGACAGAGAGAAACATCAAAGTGAGAGGAACACTTTGATCGGTTGCCTCCTGCATGAGCCCTGATCTTGGCCCTGGACAGGGAGGAACCTGCAACCTAGGTAAATGTCCTTGGTCAGAATTGAACACA